ATAGTGAAGCTTTTGCAATGTTCTTGATTAAGGAGCCACCTTTGATTTTGTACTGCAAAAATTAGTAATATTATATTAAATAGGTAAAAAATCTCTGCAATCTTCTTATAAGGTATGTTGAGAAATGTCAAGAGACATTGTACGTATGAATAGGCACCTCAAACTGCCATTTCAAATAGTCAATAGTGACTAAAATCATTAAATCTTGCAAACATGCAGGAGCTGCAAGGAGAGAGGGGCAATTCTAGAAGAATGACTGAAAAGGGAAGAAAGAAATATCACACAGACCACTGGTGTTAACCCAGCATATGAATAAAGAGATCCTATAAAAGAGAATTTATCATAAGTTTTCTTTCTTACCATAAACCTCCCTGTACAGGTTGCAATGAAATTTCTATATGCTTAATTCAGAGAAGAGCAAACTGCATCTCAGGAGACCAATTTCTCTCTCTCAGGACAAGCATCTTCCTACCATGGCAACTGACCTACCTGAAACAGCAGCTAACCTTTCCTTACAAACAATCCTGCTGCAGCTAATAACATGCCTCAAATCTCATATTTTAGCAGAGATGATTTATCTGTTTTATTCTGAACTATCACTCCACTGTTGCCAGGACTACCTCACAAATTTTATCTCAGCCCTGAAAGTCCCATGAGGCATTTTTCTGCCTAAACAACATGGTACCCCCTCCTAGTCCATGTGCAAAAGCCAACTGGATTGGCACATGAATCTGTTTTCAGCACTGATGATGGGACAGCAGCATCCTCTGCAATGGGAAGCACGGGACCACGGCACACAGATCTCTCTTGCAAAATACTTTGCAGCTGCTTCCCAGTTTCTGCCATCTGAGGCAGTTGATTCATTCCACCTAATAGGAAAATCAGCTCTGACTTGTACTACATATTGGTAGCCACTGTAATTTTGTGTTCTTTTGCAGTTAGTATTAATTTTCTGAAAGTACTTTGCACCATAGAAAGCTCAATGAGCATTGTTTTTTTTCTTTTTTCTTTGAGTAAATGGATATAATTTAAGCCAGTGATGTAGTGATATATGCCAGCTTCACTGAAATTCTTCACAGGTGACAAAGGCAATAATTTTCTTTGATACAGTGATATGACTTACTCCCAGGTCTGAGAAACTTTTGTGATTTTGTCATGAAAAAGATAACACTTCAATTAATTTTCAGTTCAGCCCCAAGGCTTATTCTTGAACACACAGATGTAAGTGTTCTATTTCTTTCTTTCTTTTTCTTTATTGACAAATTAATTCAGTGCTTGTGAAAGGTGGCAGACTGACTATCTTGTAGGCAAAGAATGTCTTTTCATCCTTAGAGAAGATGCTGTACAACCAAAGCAGGGGGAATCTCCACATTATTCTGCTATGTCACCACTGTGAAGGCAGTTCATCAGCTAGATTGAGTCTGGTCCACAGCTGGTTTTGTTGTTGTTGAGGAGCAGAAGCAGAAGAAAAGCCAAGTATCCATTTAAAGTTCTGATACACATTGTAGTTTTATAAAGTAGTCAATGTTATTTGTATAATGTAGTCAATGTTATTTAGGTAAATTCAAAAACTAAAAACTTTCATTCTTAGGGCTTGCATTTATATGGTCACAGAAATTATACCTGCATAAAGAATAGCATATCTGTGTCAGTTTTGTATGCATTGCCCATGCAAATCTCCAGTGCAATAGAAAATATAATTTTTATCCCATGCATAAGAATTCCTAAAGTTGTCCCATAATGGTGCTTTGTACTTGGTCAGACTATTATACTACAATTCTTAAGTTGTTGATTTATTTACTATATTTGGATTACTGTAGAATTTGTAGTGCAGAAGATATAGAATGACTATCTGAGGACTATTGCCATAAATATAACCTTAAACATGCTCCATGCTAGTAATGAAGTTTTTATACATACAGTCACCTCAGTCTCTCATTCGCACACAAACACGTATCTCTTGCAAGTAACTGCTCACCCTCAGAAGGGGCTTTGTAGGTCTGTTATTTGTCTGTTTTAGTGGTGGGCTAGTTGTTGTGAGCTGGGCTATCAGAGGAAGTTCTGAGGGCTTGTCAGTGAGGATTTATTAACTGTTGTGGGGGAGGAACCTAAGAGACAAAGAGCAACATAATTGGCTAGCTGCAGTGGAGTACCATGTAGCCACTGGTGCTAGAGGACACACTGAATGTGGACAAGAGTGAGAGCAATATGGACCTGCAATTGGCAGATGGCACAGCAAACCTCATAGTAATGTGAAATAGATCCATCCGGTCCAAGGGCCAAGTAAGTCTGCTGGAATTTGCCTGCCTGGTGAGGACTTTTTTGGATGATGAAAAGAGGGTAGGGTGGACAGACCCACAGAGGTTTCCTCCCAAGTCCAGTGTAGTGCATGCTACTCCTTGACTGGGGATGGGATGGGGAGAAGAGAAGTGAAGTGAAGGGAGGCCTGTCATGGCTCAGGGGAAGTTCTCAAGTGGCCACACTGGCTTCCAAAGGTTCCCAAAGCAATTTCTGCAAATATAAGTGGCAACCACTGCTATACATGTTAACTCAGAAGTAAGCTTCACTAAGTTAAGTAAGACTTACTCTTGGGTAAGTGTTTTAACCAAAGGCTCCTATGAAGGTCTTGAAGTATGCACTGAGCTAAAGGAGGATGCATAATGTTAGAGACAGATTTCACACCTTATTACCTGTGCACTGGTCTTAGCATACTGTGTTCCATTGCCCTTCCATTGGAGCAAACCAATTTCACCTTCATATCCCAGAGGAGAAGAGTTTCAGGCTTATGCAGAGCATCCTATTCCTGCTCTCAGTAGTCATTTCACACCTTATATTGAGTGCATGAAGGAGTGGAATCAATTGCACATGCTATCACTGTTCCCAAGTAGGGAAAGACACATTTGTCCATTCAGATTTTTTTTTCTCCATTTCTTATTTTTCCAAGCTTAAGTTTGGTACATCATGAACTATGGGTTTTTTTTTAAATATGAACATTAATGCACATTTTTGTGTTCATTCTTTCCAATACATGCATTTTGTATGCTCTTTTCAGATACATATTTTATGACTAATTTCCTTAATGCCATGCATTTAATGTTATTTTCAACAATATATGCATTGTGTGTGTATGCTTTTCCCTAATATGCACAGTGGAAAATTCTATTACAAAATTTGAAGATGTTTGAATTGCAAAGGAGAAATTAGTGTCTTAGTTTGAAGCATGGAATTAAGACCATTAGCATTAAAGCATGGACCAAATAAATTTCTCCCCCATACCTACTCCCAGTCTGCACATATTCAAATTAATGTCTTCATACAGCCTTGATATCTAAAAATGTTCAAATGCAGGGGTTTCTATGCATATAAAAGAATTTGTAATTGAATGCAATAAGATCAAGATCAGACACACAATCCCACTTGCTCTCTTTCCATGCATTCAGTGCAGCATATTGCAACTAATGTGTTCTATTATCCTACCCATTCAAATGGCCTAGCTCAGAGACACATTGCAGATGCAGTCTAGTTCCAGTGCGAGCAGATGAAATCAGAGAGGTAATTAACAGATGTAGTCACAGACAGGCTGGTAGTCAGGCATTGCAGGCAAGTATTTTCTTGGTGTTACTATTACTATTGCATTGTCTTTATATTCTGCTTTTTTCCTCTTCCAAAGAGCTCAAGGCAGCTTACACAGTTCTCCTCCACTCTGTTTTTATCCTCACAATGACAACCCTGTGAGATGAGGGTGAGTGACTGGCCAAGGTCATCCAGTGAACTTCATAGCCAAGTGGTCAATACACAGATTTCCCTGGTTTCCAGCCCAACACTGTAGCCACCATGCCTCAGAGAACAAATTATTACCTATCACAAGACCCACTCTTCTTTCTCTCTGATCACAGAGATCTGCAACCATCCTTGCTTCCATCTTTGTTGAATCTACTCCATCACAATTTCCAGTGTTAATGAAAAAGCTAAATGCAGATGGTTGTCATCAGTATGCTGCTGATACCAGAACTAATGCATTACTCTCTATGTCAGATGCAAGGCAAACTGTTGCCAGATGCAAAGCTGGAAGTCTTCTGTCTGATATCTCTGTTAATACACAAGAAAACTATATACACTTTTTCCTACAACTCTCTCTATTTTCTTCCACTGAAATCTCATCTTTATGATGGGTGGAATTTTGTGGAGGGAAAGACAATTATTTCACCTAACTGAAAAAGAGGAGATGAAATATATGACCGACATATCTATGTGTGGCCAGTTTTGCCCCCTCTGCAACACAATCCTCATGTGCAGCACATTCTCTTTTCCCATATAAGTGGATGGAGTTATTTGTTTACATGACAGAAAGCAAACTGTGCACATTCATGGTGGCTAGGCTTGTATGTTCATGGAAAGTAGTGCAAAAGAAGACCAAATCAATCATTTAGACTTACACTCATCCACATATGTAACAAATGGTACTGATGGCAAATCAAAAGCAACCTCCTAGATGAAATGCTGAAATAGTTTATCTCCTACCCTAAGTCCTGTTTTTCTTTCAAGATATGCCTGTGTGTCCACACAGCTGGACCATCTCTGACTATCTAATCACAGTAATCAAATATGTCATCACTTATTAAAGGCAGCAACTAAACCATACAAGTCACACATCATTGTCAATGGGCTGGTTCACACAACTGGACCATGGTGAGTTGCAGGGCATGCCAGTGCATGTGGGCATGCATTCTGAATATTCATTGTTGGCTGTAGCTCATAACTTTGTGCAAGCCCAGGGACCATGTTTTATGCAAAAGTTAAATGACCCTTGCACAGCCCATGGTCTGTTGTTGGATTATGCAGCAGTTGTTTAACCTTCCCACTGTACTTCACATAACCCACAGCTATCAGGTTCATTCAGCGCAATAAGCCACATCTGGGTGTTGAATATGCAAAACCTACCCAGCTCACACCACGGTCTGCCATGGTTTCAAGAACAGATGGTGAGCTGTTACACTTACCATCTTGCTGGCCCTGGAGATTCTGCGGACTTTGAATCCTTTCTTCAAGATTTGAACTGAGGTCAGAATTTACAGCCGACATCCTGGTAGAATCACTCAAGTCAAATTCATCACTTTCTATGGAGCTTTCATCCTGAAAATATAAATTCCAAATCATAAATATATTAACAAATGTCAAGATGATTTTCAGGCATGTATTCATAATAAATTAAAGCTTTCCAAGAAATTACCAGATGCTGTTCTGCCTAGGAAAGACAACCTCATAAGCTTTGATTCTTTGTCATTTAACTGTGCGATCTATACAATTGTAATTAGCTGGCTGTTGTGCCTAACTGCATATGCATAAATCCAACTTATGAGATTGCATCGATGAACTCAGGATTACAACTTCTGTGTAAAGGACATGGGAATGTGAGTGGAAACAAGAAAAAAAATCCATAATCCACTGTGTTACTATGATAGCCACTAATAAAAAGCATAGCATAATGGTTTCAGACAGCAGAGGTAGAAGCCTAACCCTAACCCTCACCCTCATCCTTGCCTTATATGAAACTAGACAGTTAAAAAGTTTTGATCCTACTGGTTAGGACTCTCCTTGTACTGGATAAAGACATGTTATATTCTTTCAAAATACCAGTGCATACAAGAGACATTCTGCTTATTCAAGTAGCAGTTGGTCCTTCCAAAAATAATGCTCCTCCCAAGATACATTAGGTAGTAATATACCTGAAATTCAGAATTGGAGCCTGGGAGAACCAATTTCCAGAGTTTAGAATGTCCAAGCCAATTTACAGCTGAGCCCAAATAAGGGCTCAGCTTAAAAGTACATTGTTGGCCCCAGCACTGGCATTCCCCAATGCATGAAACGTTCCCTTTCTTACTGAAACTTACATGGTAGTAGTACCAGCGATGAAGCGGCAGAAGGTAGCTACTTCATTAGGCTGTACAACAGCACTGTGAAATGTTAACCTGGGTCAAGAATGTAAGCATCTAGAAACATGCTCAGCAGCATCCTGGGCAGCAAAATCCCAGAAAGGGAACCTTCTCAAGTTTTATAGCCCAAAATAATCTTGGGAAATTATAATTACCAGGGATACCATCACCAAGAATAGTATTGCAGCAGTCAATAGGATAGCAGATAGCAAGAAGGTTCATGTAGTAACTGGGGAGGCCTCCAGACATTGTCATAGTTTCTAGTAGCAAATGGGTTTGAAAAATGGAGAGTTTATCATGTTCCTGTTGTCATCTTTATGAAAATGATACATTCAGAGCTCAGAAAAAGCCTGAAATTAAAATCTATCAATTTTAGTCTAATCTGAAGGAATGGTAGCCATATCTGTTCATTTTAGTATGAATTAAACCCAGAGGAACTCATCCAGACTGTTTTGCATCTTGGTAATGGTGAAAAATGTCCTAAGGATTAGCCTAACTCCACTGAATTTATAGACACTGTAGCTAAATATCCAGATAAAAGAGCAGCAGTGCTTTCCCATTCTTAGACTTCTGTAGGATAGGAAATAGAAGAACTCTGGGACTAATTGTGGCAGAGAAATATGCTTGAAATAAGTATTCTTGGAAGTTCGTTAGATGAGATATCTTTAAGAGTTTTCTATAGTTTCAGTATTAGGTCTCTGTGATATTTGAAGTTGAATTTATCTTTCAGCAACATGCATGCAAGGATGACTAGTGAATCCTTAGAAATAATAATAAAAAGTCAATGTAAATCCAGGAGCGGGTTTATCCAAACATACTGCAATGGATGAAGTAATTTAAAGCATACATTAGAACTAAATCCATTTGTGCTCTCTACATTTTCTCCTTCACTACTGTTTTTTTAATAGCACAGAATATTTGTTCCTTGCTGGTAAAGGTTGAAGTATCTCCTCTATCATTATAATCTAGTTGGAAGACATGTTAGGGAATGGTAATTGAAGTTTCCTGGGCCTTCAGGGTCCCTAGGAAGAAGCCATTAGCCACAACAGAAAAGTAGATATCTGAAGGAAACATTATTTTTGCCTCTTTCCCAGAAAAGGCATAAACTGTACTTGGATGTTATCCCACGTACACACTTAACATCAGATATGTGGGAGAGTGGAGTTCAACCCCTACCTCAGCTTCAGCCTCAGCCTCTCGCGTGGTAAGACAGGATTCTAAATCACAGTTGAGCAACTTTCCCTTTGCAGCCCTTAATCCCAAGTCTATGAAATAGGGTATCCAACCTTGCAAAGGACAACCCTCTACCCAAAAGGCTTTCAGAGGGCATCCTGAGTATGAAGTTCTGCTAAGTCCCAATCTGGTATAAGATAACCACAAGAAGGTTAAATGACCATCAGCCACCACCATCTGGGCAACATACTGAGCTAGAGTAACATGGGTCACCTGGATTTCCTTTCTTGGATGAACTATATATTACAATTATTTTGTATCTGCATCTATACCTAGTGTGTGCAAATGTTATACAAAGCATTCCCCTCTTTTATGACTGTGCATAAAGACAGCTTTAATGGGGACAGCTTTAGGTGGGGTTGGGGCATCACATACATTTTTGCTTGTCTCCTTGTACAGTGTTAATCACATGAGCTAAGAAAGCCTGAACAGGGCTATAATAGACTCATAATCTATCTTAATTTTCTTTCAAAAGAAAGGATATGTTTAAAAAATAACTAAACAAACAAATTAACTACTTAGCCTGAAATAAACAGCAGGTTCACAGTAGCAGATGGATTAACTCAATTTTTAAAATCATTTATCACATAAAGCATCTAACATTTTAAAGCACTATATATAGAAATTAAGAGATAAATAGAGTCTCATCTTGCAGGCACAGAATGTAACAGACTGGAGAGGAAAGAGAAGCAAATGAATTTCAGTTCCAATTTCTGAAGTTACACACCCCTGGCCAAAGGCAGAAACCAAAGCAGGCTTCCTTTCTGCCCTGCAGTTCCAGGTCTATTGGCATTTGCAGCCAAGTGTTCTTCTAGGTCAGAAGAAGGAAACAAGTTTACTGCAGCTTCTGCTTCTCTGGTCAATGGACAGAGCCAAACTGCTCTTCCCTTTGCAATGATCTCTGTGATCTCTTCTCTAAGAAAGGAACATGTTTAGGGCTTTGTTCCACTCTAATAATCATGCAATGAGCCTGGAAACATGCAAGTTAGATAGTTCTCACAAGCTGATAGAAGACATAGCAGCTAGCAGCTGTTTTAGACTCCCAGGCTTCTGTTTGGCAGCCAGAGGTGGGGAAATACATATATCACTAAGCAAGCTAATGAAAAATAATTTAAAAGCTCTGTCCCCATCCAATTTTTATATTGCCATAGCTATGCCTGGGAATTGGTCTCAGTTCTTCATGGAGCCATCTTTCCCCCTGGCTCTGGCAATATATTAATTCAGAAAGATCATCCAACCTTCCAGATAATATAGATGTATAATAGGTCAGGAAGTTAATGGTATAATGTAGGTGTTACTCACAGATAAACCACTGTCTGAGGCTAGAATTTGGGGTATTAAAATTTTAGCAAGGAATCTGCATTTGGCACACTTAGGCTTACGTCCGTATATGCCCGACCGCCCTTTGAGATCTGCGGGAGAG